CACCCTCTTATGACTCTTCTTTTTTATACTTTAAAAATTCATCCAATCAGAAACGAGTATCAAAATTCAAAAACTGAAACTAATTACATATTTTTTCTTATAATTTAACGAAGAGGATTATTTTTCAATATTTTTTTTTTTTTGATTAAGAGGAAGATTACGAGTCTGCGATTTAGATTTCAACAATAAAAATCAGTAAAAGTCACTAAAATAAATTAATTTTCCAAAAGTATGTCAGTCGTCGAAGATAAAAATCGAAGCCTCGCCCACCCACAAACATATAATTATGTTAACCCGATTTATTTTCATGCATTAACTGAACAAAATCGAACAATTAACCCGATTACACGCGTGGTAAATAACTTACAAGCAAACGCACGTATATCATCCGCCATCTTGTTTGTACAGGTAACCATGGAGACATTTTTTGAAACTACGCAACAGCCATCTGTTAATTAAAAACTGAACTAAGACACCGGTAATTGATCATTATCGATATAAATGATTACCTTTCCCGATTTCTGATTGGACGTTGCATTCATTTAAATTAATAAATTAAAAATTCAGCACCGTTTCCTGTTGAATTCAATGAAAAATTTTAATAAATTCGGGTGTAGAATTTTAAACTCTAACTCACCTTTGACTTTTCAAATGATGGACGTATAAAAATATTTTTTTTCTAGTGTTTTGAACACTAGAAACAAATAAATAAGCTTCTATACAGGTATAACAAGTAAATTACAGTATCACATTAGTAGTATGCGGCTTACAAATAACAAATTGGTACACCTCTAAGGCACAATGAGTTAAAAGACCTTGAGTTAATACTTTGCTTCCACAGTTATAAATAGAAACAGGAGTAAAATTAGTCTCTCCCCTTCTGTTTACATGGTATAGCTCCAATCTCCTCCTCCATATCCAACCTGTGCATCATTTTAAACTGCGTTTAACTAAATTACAGTAATTAAACAGACAGAAATAAGTAGGTATGTATGTACAGTATACTAATTAATCTGCATAACAATTAACAAAAAAAATTATTTGGGGCCATTCATATGGGCTAAAGAATTTTTGTACTTATTTAAATATAAATAAAAGCTTTTCTTTTACATGGTGATGAGTAATTTTAGTATTTTATCAGTTATAGTATTACTGTTTAATAATTTTTATGGTAGTAGTGAGATAACATTCAGCACTTATGCTAATTATGAAAATCCCTATCTGGAAACTGTAATTAAAATTTTCTAAAAATATCTTGCTTAATGGAAGACATGAAGTATATACTCACAATTTGTCTTGTTACATAGAACCGATACATTTTTACTCGATTAATCAAGCAAGAAAAATAATAATTTTAACAAATTTTAAAACTACACTTAATTTCTTACCTTGTGTTTGTTTCATGGATGATCTCATCTGTTTTTATAAGGGGAGGACATTTTATTGCATTTCAACTGAACTCATTCAGCCATTTTCTTTCAAGGATACATTTATCATTAGCCATTAAAACTACAATCATTCCAAGATGATAAGGAATTTGTGAGCCTGTATTGTCTAGTACCACTTGTAACTAGTGCCTCTTGCCATTTTTAATTCCAAATTATTAGAAAAGAGTATTAAACAACAGGTGGGGCATACCTCTTCCTGTCATAAACTGTTCTACATTCCATGCATTAAGAACCTCTAAATGTAAGACTGTTTCATTACAGTTAATTTTAAATAGAGTCAGAAAAATGTTGCATTATATGAGATGTAAATTATAATAAAAAGATTATTTTACACACAATACATCTGAAAATATTTATTGAGATCATAAATTAATATTTTCATTAACAAATCTATCATAAGAAATATAATTTTACATTTTGTATACAGTTAATGGATGTTGAGTCACTTGCATATTATACACACAATTGCTTATGGATATTTAAAAAATAAATGCCACTTTGAGAGAAGATACAGTTGAAAGTTAACATTAATCGACATGAAAACAAATTAGCATTTGGTATTTTATTGCATAGTTAATCTTTTAACTCTAAATTAATAATTAAAAAAATTTATATACAAGTTATTTAACTAATGGAATGAAATTAGGTATTGATTTGACATAATAACAATGAAAGATATTGATTATTGTTTATGCTTTTGTAATCTACAAAACAAAATCACAACTGTGCAAGAAACCATGCAAAATATTTTAAGTGAATAAATAAGAAATTAAACTTTTATAAGGTAATAAATCATGTGTTACTTTTCTACGCAATTTATTGTTATAATTCCTATAAATTGTGCTTATATCTATAGAAATAGTTTTTGGTACAACAATTTATCATTTTTTAAAAGTAAAAAGATTACGTATTTTAGAAAGCCAAAATATATTTATTTTATTAGAAATGTTTTTGGCCATTATACTGGCCACCTTTGGCTTACAAATGGAGTGAATATTGTTCAGTTCATTTGTGCAGAACTGTCAAATCGATGAATGTTATTTAATCTTACATCATCTGATTTGTCTATGCTGAAGATTACAAGTGGAAGATTTATTTAATACTGTATGTTCTTATCATATCAATGATTACAAATAAGTTAAGATTAGGTAATAATTTAGAAATAATAAGTACAATATCTTAGTTACATATGGCAGGAATGCTTTTGAAAATGGAGTGGTTCTTGATACATTACAGCAGTGTTTTTCAACCTGTGGGTCGCGACCCCCACGGGGTTCGCAAAGCCTTACACGGGGTCACGGGTGAAAGAAAAAGACAAGTGTTCATAGGTCCTATACTACAATAAAAAAATCTAGAATTTCAGTGAGAAGGCTGTGCCTGTTGGTTTTTCAATCGATATTTAAAGAAGAAAATTAAATATGTAGTTCTCAAAATCACTGATATAGTTTTAATATGGCCCTGGGGGTCTCCGGAATTTTTTAACTTGTAAAGGGGTCACGTATTCAAAAAGGTTGAAAAACACTGCATTACAGAATATACAATTGCGGACAGAATTAGATAACAGGCAGTCAGGTGTCAAATAGATCACTTTTCTTATGCAGGATTCAATTACCTTCTTTACCTGTCATGTAGCAGCTAAAGCATGTTACATTTCATCATTGCAGATTCTGTCTTAGTGGAAGCTACTTTGTAAGATGACAATTTAGTTACATATGTTGGCATAATAGTGTTTAAGAGTATTGTAAACTTAAATATATTTTTTAACTATAATAAACCTTACATTATTATTTAAATCATACATGAACATCAAACTGCTTTGTAACAAAGAAAAATATAAAAATAATGTGTTTTTAATTCAATTTAATAAAACACTCAAATACTTAATTCAAAAATATTTCAATTCTGTAAAAATGATGTATTTTGCAGATAGTAAGTTTCAAAAATGAAATTTATTTGCAAATTACTTATAATACTTGACTAGAAATATATTAATTTATTGCAGTTTTTAAAGAATAGTTTGAAGACAAACTAACATTTTATATTGTACAGTAACAAGAACTTATAAACCAACTTTTGGTATCAATAAAATATAACAAAATTTGGTTATATATATTTTTTATAATTATATATTGTGTATACGTCAATTTTTTAAAATTACTTTCATATGATAATTTGAAAATATCTATAATCAAAAATATATATTTTTATATTTATATTATGTATATTGTGCATAGTTATACTTCTACTTTACTATTCATTTCACTGCATACCAAGATAAATTACGAAATTAAATTAATTTGATATGTATCTAATTAGAACATAATCTATCTGAAATTATAAATTATACTCCTAATTTTTTCTTTTTTATTAGTAAAAATAATTTATATAATAATATTATAAGGATCATCTTTAATAAAAGCTTTGTATCATTAAACAATACACTAAATTGATTTTGTATTTCACTACTCAAATATTAAGAGATGTTAGATATTATTTCTGTTTTTAATCAAATATTTTAGATAATTATTAATTTTATAATCTTTCTTGCAATTAAAATGGCTTAGTCTTCATCGAACTAGAATAAATATTCTGATTTCTGTTTAAATTGTCAACATAGAAAAAATAATTCAAATTTTTCTAATTTAAATTAAATTAATATATAAAAAATATATATAAAAAGATATCAGTAATTAACTATTACTAGGTTTAACCTTATGTATGAGGTAGTTATCAGAAGCATCCATACTATAACCTGTTAATGCGAAAGAATATCTTCGCCGTTACATTCTTCCTTAATTTTAACATTCGATGGGAATCTATCATATTGTGTATTGCTTCCATTAATGGAAAAATATCTATGGTTTAGTGTTCTAGAGAGATCAACTATTTCTTCAATGCTGTTTGCTTTCTTAATTTCTTCAATTAAACGTAACCTGTCACTATTCAACGTAGTAGAATTCACCAGCTCTTCTAAATCTGGTTCCTTCTCATATTCTCTCATCATCAAAGTAGTTTTTGTAGTAGTGGATTTCTGATGTAATCTGTGACGTCTAGCAAAACGTTGAAACCATGAAGGAGAACCGGTAAAGTCTTTAATATTCTTTTTTCGAGCCATCATGATGGCTTGGTTCCTGATATCTATGGAGGTGAGTGTTTTCCTTTCTTTTAACGTGTTTACCATCCAATTTTTCAGTTCGTTTTCCAAATCTGGCCACCTTGCCTGATTTCCTCTGTCTGCACGCTTATTTAACGGTTGCCTTAGGAGATACTCTTTCTGTTTCCTCCACAGGCGAATATTGCTTTCACAGACATTAAACATCCTTCCTGTAGCACGATTCCCACGTTCTTCAGCGTATTTAATCAATTTCAACTTTTCTTCCGCCGTGTAACTCACTCTTCTCGACATAATTGTACTTCATTTATGTATTCAAATATAAGTAATATAATAAATTTGCTAATTCTGTAAAATAATTACGTATAAAATGCCGATTTCATTCTAATTCTGTTTAAATAAACGAAAAAAAACCACCTCTGAATTATCAAGTTATCAACTAAAGGACGCCGCCATCTTGCGACGTGAACACACCTAGCGGTTGAAATAAGAAATAAATGTTTTTTCCTTTCTTCTTCTTCTTCTTCTTCGTCTTCTGTGTTAATATGCAGATTTTAGCTCTTTCTCCGATTTCCCCACTCTCAGGTTCCCTTACTTAAATCGTCCAGTTCGTGCGATGTATGCTTCTAACGCCATCACTAGATGGCGGGGTATGATCTGTGTCGTCGGCGCATATACTTCCCACAAAGTACTCTTATCTGTCAGTCTTTTCCTTTCTTTCTTTCTTCTCCTCTAATATGGAGAATCTGGCTGAATCGCCTTTTCTCCGATGTACTCTTGTCCGTTATTAGACAAATCGATGTGTGCGAGCTACGTAGCGTTCGAGGGCCTGCACGTGCTGACTAGGTGAGAGGTCTGTTCTTGCCCAATATATGGGTGTTAAAGTTTGGATGATTGAGAGGTCTATCTTCAAAGTACGGCCGAGTTCTTGTCGTGCTTCCGTATATCTTGGGCCCGTCAGCCAATAATGTCTGGATGTCTCCTGAGCGCCACAATGTGGACAGTCTGGTGAAACTCGTAGGTTTCTAGAACAGAGGAACCCGTTTAGAGGGGCAGTGTCAGTTCTAAGGCGGGCCAAGAGAGTCTCCGCGTTCCGAGGAGAAGCGTGCCTGTAAGGCCAGGGAGCGAAGGTCTGGGTGATCTCGTCCTTTATTCCGCAAGTTTGCTGACCACAATTCTGTGATCCCTATTTTTTGTTTTTCTCTATACTCCCGGATTAAATCGCGGGAGTATATCTGGGGCCTCGTTAATGTCTATTCCCATGTGGCCCGGGGTCCACCCGATTTCAATGGGTTTGCTGACTAATTTTGTCCGCAATGTCGATAAGAAGTGCCGGGGACGAGAAGGAGATATTGCCTAACGCCTGTATGGCAGACTTACTGTCGGAGCATATGACCGACGGACCGTCTAGGCTTGAGCTTAGATGTAGCGCCCGTTTGATACTTAGGGCTTCTGCCCCGTATACATTGCAAGAGTTATGTAACAGTCAGGTCTTCCTGATGTTGTGGTCCGGGAGGACAATCCCTATCGACGTGCGGATCCTTGACTTGGAGGCATCCGCCCCTATGAGGATCCTTCCCTGCCAGGTTGACATTTGCATCTCTCGGAATCGTGCGCATGCGATTTCCGGGGATTCCGAAGAAGAGCGAGTTATCTCTTCAAGGCGTAAGTGAGGATAAACCCGGACCATGTTTGGCGGAGTATGTTTCTGCCGACAAATGTTTTTTTTTTCCTATATTTCGTTTGAATTTATGAAAGATTTTTGCAATAAATAAACTTTCCACTCGTTACGCAACGTTTTATATATATATGTACTTTAAAAACACTGTAATTCTTTATTTAAAAACTTGCTTTGTGTACAGACGTACTGTATATGAATGGCACAGATCGACGCTCATTATCATTACAATTTTGCAACTCGTGTGAATCCGCCTTAACAGAGCGATTTTCTTTATTCTTATCTATATTGTATTGCAAAAAACATCATTAATATTATTTATATAAATATGTATTTATGATATATGCCGCACTGATGCTAGGCCGCAATATGCCATTCGAAGGATCCTGTTTCAAGGATATACTGTACATTTTATTTACAGAGTTACATCTAAGCGGCAACAGAAGCGTATTTCTTAGTACCGTATTTCTATTGCTGAAGAAAAATATTAGTAACAAAACATGTTGATTTTATACAGCGTAAATGATGTAATTTATGAATTTTCGTTGCTTAGCTATGGCGGAGTGATATAAATTCAAGATCCAATACATCGGCTCCATTTTTATTATGGGTAACACTATAGCATTACCCATAATAAGCGAAATAAGAATGGAGTCATAAACATTTTAGCATATAAAATCTATTTATTATATTAAAAAGAAACAACATTGAATAATTCTCAATAATTTATCCAAAAATTAAATAAAAGCTACAGTTTGAGAAGTTATAATTGTTGTATTGCAAACATTTACAAACCAAGAATATAATATACATACATTCAATTTAAAAACGATAAAATGTATAATTAATCCCCGTTTTACGAGCCGTTTTTAGATGTTCGTCGTAAAACGAGCGATTCTATTCCTCCAATTTTAGTGTTACAAATTAAGATTACGTTCTGTAAAATAGTTTTAACTATGTAATTCTGCCTATGGATGGCTGACATTATTTTGTTCATTCATAATGGGAAATTTGTACCGGGTAAAGAAAGCGGTCGTAAAGCGGAAATAAGATTTAAACATCGTCTACAGAAAAACTTTGGTTACAGTATTTCTCTTGCAGTGAACCATCCGAAATAGTTCATAATATATTACTACTATTAGGGAAACGAAGAAACATTCCACCAAAAAATATAAAATATCTTCGTTTGTTGTCATGTTGGTGAAAGGAGAACGAAACGTTACAAAGTCGCAAAAACCCTGAAAAGTAAGAACAGGGTAATTAGGATTTTAAAATATTTTTACATAGAAAACGAGCTTAAAATTTCCTGAATCCACATAACTTTTTAAAGTAGAAAATTAATAATAATTTAATTAAATTTGAAGACAACACATGGTGACCCAAAAGCCATTTAAAAATTAAACTGCTATCTTATTCAAGTACTTTATTACTCATAACAAGTAAGTAATATTATACTTCTTCAATATACAAATTAGAATGCCTATGTTCATGCAAGAAATATCGTTACCCGACTTTTTGGTCACTGTTCTATACGTAATTGCAATACATGGAGACAGTTAATTGATTATGACAATTGGTGAGACAGAAATGCTTAAATAATACTTTGTAAATCATTCTTACCTTTTAATTCGATTGCAAATGTTTCGTTATTGAACCTCAACGATTCTTACTGATTATTCATGCATCAGAATAGTCTTATTTATAAATTTTGAAGAGGTTTTCTAGCAGTAAACTGATCACTAAATGTGAAATTTTCTCGTCGTTTAAGTATTGCAGGTGTTTATCTGATAGAAATATAGCTAATCATACGTAACGATGAAACGGCTGATGCTACTGCACCTGTTAGTAAAAGCCTGTAGTATAAGGCCATCAACATCAATATTTTTATTATTAAAATAAAGTTAATAAAAAAAGCATTGCAATAAATTACATTTAAAATATTGACAAATTCCACCCAAGTAAGATGAATACTTTGGTGGAATTTTGTCAATAGCTAATTTTTGAAATGATAAACATAAATAATCATGTAACATACACATTTTTTAGAATTTAATATTTTAATTTAAATTCTTTGCTTTGCCTTACATTTTTCTTACTTTATTAATTAATGCAGACATTTTAGAATGTAAAAAATGGCCAGGTCAGGGCTGGATTTGCAAATAAATAGGCTGTACTTATGGCCTATTATATGTTATAGCTTAGGATCACAAGTCTAAGTTTAGTACTGAGCCACACACATCTGGCATGAACTGTTCTTATTGCTTTGAGTTAAACAAAAATAGTATGTGTGTTTTTTTTACTCACATTTTTCTGTAGGAATTAACAAAGCCTTTTATCACACTCATTATTAGTTTGGCCAAGCTCACAATGATAAAGGATACAATATATCAAATTTAGACTAAAATTCTAAGCATCAGATAATCTCCAACTCTCCTAGTGTCTAGAATAAACTTTGTCACCTTAGCCATCCACTATTTGCATATTTAAGTTTTGTTGTTAATAAGAATCCAAGAGCAGCTTTTAAATTTTAAGGTTTCTACAGAAGTTGTAACAGATATGAAGGGTTAGCAATTACATTCTGAAAATGAAGTTTATTGACTGATTGATGGTACGAGACAGCAGTGCCCAAACTAAGATCTTCAGGCTAAATCAAGCCCATAAACATATTTCACATATCACTTATAAGTGACATAAATAGGCCTACTTGTAGTATTTATGGAACATGCAATAACGTTTGTGGCTATATAATTTGACCTGACAATCAAGTTTGGCTAACAATGGTTTGAGATTAAGTTGTGGATGATCTGTGCAGAGGAAGGTGCCTTTTCCAGAACAAGTTAATGTGACTGAGAAAGATGCCAAAAGATTTCCTGCACTTAAAAAATTCTTAATTTTAATCTATGGTATTTTTCTAATGTATTTTCCATTTTCAGATTGCAGTGTACACTAGCATGTGACTCTCCACACATTTTCAAGGGTCCTACTTTGTATTGTTTCTTTTAAATTTGGTTGCAGGATGTTCAAAAAGTTTGTCCATAGTGGCTTTTGTAGTTTATAATGAACCAAGAAACCATGTACTGTACATGCAAACCATGTATTGAATCTTCTATATGCAGCTGTGGAATAGTGGAGCAGACATAATGTCTTCTGGTGTATTAAAATCTCCCAAAACCAATCAACAAGATGAAAGGGGCAACCCAAATCTACAATACTCATAGCAGAGACTTTATGAACACCTTGTATGATATAATGGACAAAGTTTATCAGATAAATAATTTTAACTACACGTTTCCAGCTTTAAAATATTGATATGTCTGCATACAACAGACATTTAATGCAGTTTACTTAAAACAATTTAAGAAAAATTTAAGTATTTAAAACACTTTTATTTGACATAAATGAGAATAACAAATTTACGTGACTTCTCAACATCTTGATGATCATATTTACAGTTTCCATGTTTTACTTGTATATTTGTGATGTCATATCAACTAAAATATATATATTTTTTCTCAAAATTAGTGATGATTGTAAACAGAACTTTTAAGAACTTATAAAGAGATATTTAAATATAATTTTTTGTACAATCTCATTTATCCGACATCAATTCTTCTTCCTCTTCTAGTTCGTCCTCTTTGGAATCTTCATGAATAATGACGTACTCGCGAGTGCTGTATCCAAATTTCAACACATCTTTTTCTAACAGTTCTACATATCTACGGGGTTCTATTTGATTGTTGTTTACAAATGTTCCGTTTGCAGATTCCAGATCAATTATGTAAGGACGGACGTGTTTACCCGTCGTACCGTCGTCTCTTTCGTATTCCACCAGACGAAACTGAAGCACAGCATGCTGCTTAGAGCACGAAGGATGGTCGATGGGAATGTCTGCGATTAATCTAGAACGTCCCAATAAATATGCACTCTGTCTATGAATGGGTATAAATGGAAGGGCCTGGTCACCTTTGAACGGATATAGTCGCCACCTCTTCTTTGGTTTTCTAGCTTCTTCTGGTTCATTATATTTTATAACAACACCTTTATACATGTTTGTATCCTCATTCAGCTTTCCAGACAAGTTCATATTTGGTTCAATTTTTTTTGGCACTTTTTTTTCTTTACCATCCTTGTCAGTTTCTTTTTTCACCCTCTTATGACTCTTCTGACTGATCTAAATAAGTTAATAAAATAACATTAATGTCATTTACTTTTAAAGTTACACAATTGTTTTAATTTATTTACTTCATTGCACATACAATTAATTATTATTAAATAAAATTTTACCATATCAATAATGTAACATTAATTAATATATGTATGTACAGTAACTATAATTACAATGGAGATTAATAGACAGTAAGATGGCCAAGGCAATTGATGCATCAGCCTTCTGTTGTGAGGGGCCCAGAATTGAATCCAGATGGTCGAAAAACCAAAAAAATTTTCGCAGGTGATCCCATCCAGATATGTTGGGCTTTGTCCTTCTCACCCCATTGGAGTTGGTTGAACTTACAACAGGATAGGAAAAAGCCCTCTTACTGCCCATAAGACAGGAGGAGGAAGGGAAAACACAAAATGGTAATTACCATTTACTTATACTGTATTATCAGACAGTGAAGTTTTCTTTTAATTTTCTTATTGGATTGCTATTTGAAAAATTGTAGACCTATAAATTCCCACTGTTGGCTGTCGGTCTGTCCTTCCTTAATTAATGTAGAGATTGGAGTAAGATAGATTAAAGTCGAGACCAGATACAAAAAGCTTAGGGACAGCAGGCATTAATTAACTTGATATATGAACTTCTGATACAAATTGAAAGCCACATTATTTCAATTTTAAAAATTTCCTCTGAAAGGAGTTAGATATTTGACCAGCATGACTATTCCTAACAGGAAAAGTATGATGTACAGAGGCAAGACACTACTAACTTGAAGTGTAGAGCACACATTTTAAATTAAATAAATTAAAAATTGCAACCAGACATTGTGACGATATCACAATAAATATTTGCTCGTTAATTTCAACTTATTATGGGTGCTAAGGGGATACTTTTCCATGTCTATTATTAGCTTGACCTTACTTCACAATGTGGCAAGAAACACTTTGAACCAAACCACTTGTGAAAATTTCAATCTAGTGAACTGAAGTCCAGATACACTAGTCTTCTAGCCCTACTTGCTAAAGGCTGTCTATTAAATAAGTTAAAATATCAATATCAGCTTGTGCTGAATTCCCATCAGCAGAGCATTTTTTTCATATTCACTTATACGTAACAGGAATAAATCATAAAAGAGAGAGATTTTTATAGGATTTAAACCGTTCTTTTAAAATAATATATTTTGTTAAATGAAGAAAATTAAGTTTGGTTGTAAATAAAATTAAAATAAGTACTAAAGAACTGGAAACATTTTATTTACTTAGTGAAATTGTTTATATTTAACTGTTTCTAATCTACAATGAACTCAAATGCCATTTTATAATAATAAATGTGAAATATACAAAAAAAAAATGAACTAGAAGAGAAAAAAAATATTTTGTTTGCTAAAAATCTAAACCTGTTTGACAATGTGTTAAATGTTCTAAGCAGTAAGGGACACAACTATTCTATAGTATATTGTTATTCTATATTCTTTCAATCAATACTTCAAACAACAAAATATTTAATAAAACTGTAGTTTTAATAATTTTTTAGTTTTGTCCATTTAGCAGAATGTTGGACAAAGGAGCAGTTTTGCTTAAAAGAGCATTTGTCCATCTTCCCAGTTCTTCCCCTTACTCCTATTAACTGACTAGACAGCAGAACAGTCTGTTTAAATGCGTGCATTTGACAAGTGTTTTAAAGCTGCAGTAAGCATAAGGGAGCACTATTCTAAGGAAAATTTATAAGGGTCTATCTTTAATTTTATGGTACCTCAACACCCAGGACAAATTGCGATAGGGCTTTTTACACTATGTTATTTATTAAAATATGCAATACAGCTAAAGGAAAAATGAAGGAAGATGAAGACAAAGCAGAAATTTTCACTGAACCAACAGAATCTGTTTCTTGTAAAGATACATTGTTTCACTAAAGGAGAGACAGATAGATTTAGTTTTTATGAAAAGTTGATTGGTTAGTTTGTTGGAGTTTATTGGCGCAAGAGCCATATAGGCTATACTGCACCATGCCATATGGCAATTTTATGAAAAGGAATAGTACATTTGACAAATTGGGAAATGGGAAAGATGAATTTCCAGACAGATCGAGGTGTATGTACTAAAGTTAGAAAAAAGTGAAGATAGAAACAAGTTTCACATAGGATTAATGAAGGACCTTACAAGCTCAAATGGAAGAACACTAGAATGATGTTACTAGAAGGAATTTATGAACTCTGGCAAGGGAGGAAAGTGATTCTAATGCAAAATTGGATTAGAGTCACTTGCTTAAGATACTGCATAACAAGATGAAACAATGAATATAAGAACCATGGGACAGGTATATATTCATGTGGTAGGTTTGGATCAGTGAATAGGATTGACGCAGAAGAATTATCTGAAGTATGGAAAGCAGAAATAAAAGAATAGAAATCTAAAAATGTCAAATATTTAGTAGACAGAAAATGAGATACTGGCTTTAAAGAAACAGAAAAATCTCAAAACAATATTGACCCTATTTGAAACTGAAAATTTAAATTAAAAAACAAATGAAGTTAATGTTGGAGATCACTAACAGAATATGGAGTCTTGTGTTGAAGATTTTGCAGAATAATATGTTTTATTCTTCAAAACTTTATATACAAGTGGTCAACTTTTAAACAACTTTTTTATATACTCTAAAATTACTTTTCATAAGTCAAATTAGAACTCTTGTGCATTGCAATATGAAGTTTCTTGTTAGTTTTGCCTCCAGTATCATGAAAATAATTTCAGTGAATTAGTTTAACCAATAAGTAGACAACTCAGGACAAAACATTTTTCATTTAAATTTTATTTTAACTAATAATTGCTATATATTTGACTGCTGAGTCAAATATATAGCAATTATTGACTATGTCAAGTGGCTTAATGATAGTTCTCTCTCTTTTTAAGTTATATAATTTTTAAAATTGAAATAACAATTAGGTTGAATTAAAAATGACTCTAATCTACATATATGAAATGATTCATTTTAATCAATCCACTGAAATAACTCAAAAAATACACAGACTATTTAAAAATCCAGCAACAAGTTGCTTAACTTCCCTGGCAATGTTTAAAACTGTGCTTGGTACCATCTGTTATGATATTTTATTTAAGTTACTTTTTATATTTTTAATTATTATAAAATGGCAAAAAACTTAATTCTGAAGGTAGGGACAGGTTTTATAAAAATTGTAAATGTTATTAATGAGTTAAATTGTCATTAAGGCCAAGGCTCCATTAGCATAAAAACCTTCACCGTAAAAACTTTTAATCATGTGACCTATTTGCATTTGGATTGTGGTGGAGGTCCTGCTAGTGAAGTTTCTACAGCTACGGTACTATCGAAGTTATGAAGCCAATTATATTCTATGAGTTTTTCTGTACTATGATTACAAATGTAGTAAAAGTAATATCTTTACTTTCATATATTAACTTTTATTATTGTATTATTAATTAAGATAATACAGTCGACCCCCCTATAACGTACGTTCCTATAACGACAATTCCTATAATGTAGCGAAAAAATTGTAGCAACTTTCGTATAACGTACCTCCTATAACGTCGTTTCACGACAAGATTGATAGAGTCTGGACCAATAGTGGATGAGCAGCCGAACTACTTTCCTCCGACCCTGCGCCACGCTACGGAGCGGCTAAATTGAGTTTGCTATCGTCTGTTTAGTATTATATATAAATTATATATAAATTAGGTACTGTACATATAATTATATATTAATTATATATAAATTAGGTACTGTATATATAATTATATATTAACTTAATTTATTGTAACTTTATTATAATTATATATATGCTTTCTGCCGCCTGGCAACACGCTACGGAGATTTTAGGCTAGTAAGTTGAGTTTATTATCGTCTGCACAGTATGTAAATTAGGTACCGTAAGTCTAATACAGCACTAATTTTATACATTTCTTGTGAAAGAAACACTTCTTATTCAACGTCCATAAAAATTATTTATATTAATGATGTCTCCAAAGGTCAAGTTATTTTTCCGCCAAAAATTCGTTATCAGAAATTGCGGCCGTCGTTTCGCGTGCTGTTCCGCAATGAAAACCAGCTTTAAGCAACGGCGTAGTCAAACGGTGTAAGTAATCCTACAATTTTTTGTTTATAGCATAGTTTATACAGATTATTCCCAAAAAATTATACGTATTTTGGAAATGTTGAGTGGAATTAGTCTAGAATCGGTTAATTTTATAGTAGAAAACCTTTCGTACAGCCTTAGTCCGTAAAGTTCCCACCTATCGGGCTGCAACTGGCTCACGTATTTCATCATTCCTACAACGTAATTTTCGGTTAGCGTGGAACGTATCTAAACGTTATAGGGAGGTCTACTGTATACAGCACTTGTAAACTTAGCTGTTTTTATTATATACTCCTCTAAATTGAAGGATTTTCCTTCGGCCATCCGTATCGTGTGTTTTAGGCATTCATTATTATAATTGGGATACTTCTTGCCATAGATATACGAATACTTTCGAATGTTTTCAATAAATCTTTCCAGATCTATTCTAGAGTAGCCACAAAGGAACGTACACAAAAACTCATTTTCCGCCATTTTTGCACCATGTCACAATGACCTAGATTTCACTAACTTCTGATTGGTGGATGGTACCGTGTTACGGCTGTATTTGCATCGAAAGTTGAACACTGCTCAACTCGCTTTTACACTGGTTTTACAACCTGCTCAGGAGTAAAAAATCATGGTCACGTGATTAAAAGCTTTTATGGCGAGGGATTTTATGCCTGTTTTTATGTTAGTGGAGTCTTGGCTAAGTCCAGCCCTACTTGAGATATGACACATGACTCCATTTATCTCCTACCTTCTCAACCTTTAACCACCAAAATTTAATAGAATCAATCTTTGTAATAAACAAACCCCTCTTAAAAATTTCAGAAATTTTTGAAAAAAAGCAAAGGAGTTATTAAGCTTCAAAAAGGGTAAACAAAATTGTGCCCAGAAGAAACCCCAATTCAAAACGTAAACTTCTGGGGAGGGTCATTTTTTGACCAATTGCCTTATTTCCCTCTGTTATATATAACAGAGCTGGAAAAGTAAAATTTCATTGAACTAAAGATGTTTGATTTCAAGTGGAGAACAACATTACAAGATTGGCTTCTTCATTAAATGGCACTACAAAAAGAACCACACCTCTACATGCAATCCCGGTGAGATACAGCTCCCCGAAATCAGCCTACTTCCAGATCAAGCTAAGACTATCGCATTTAACTATTTAACCCAAGCAATTAAGCCGACTTTAAGTAGTCCAGTAAACTGCTGGTGAAGTACTCAATGTTATATAGCAGGTATGGCCAAACTTTTATCCCTTAGGGGCTACTTTTTCGGTAAAATATAATATGTGGGCGACTATGAATACGGGCAAACAATTTTAGGATTTTTATATGCGCATGCGTTAACATTCATTTGCATTGTTCATCAGGATAAATACAAATAGTATGGGTACGTTGCACAGACAGTCTATTATTGTAAGAATAAATTACGAATTAAAAATTTTAAACATTAATTTAAGTGAAAGCAAATTGTTCAACTTTAGCTTCACGGGCTACTTTCAAAACCTTTGTGGTCGACCGGTCAACCGCGGTCTACGTGTTGGCCATCCCTGTTATATAGTTTAGGGAATGCGGAGACTAGCCCCACGCAGGTGGTGAGAGTGCGAGCCTTGACCGACAGTTTACATTGGACATTGCAAAAGAGAGAAATTTCGCAACTGCATTTTATGAGTTGACCTAAAAACAGTAATCAGCTGTTACTTTAATATTTTCCAACTGTCAGCAAGGAAGATTCCCGAAATTCGCATGGAGAATGTTAGAGTATTATTATATTGACTATTATACCCATAACTCACACAAATCGTGATCTTAAATGATTTGTACAGTACGTGTGACAGCGAATATTTATCCATAATTTCTCTACTGAAGAAATAAACTCAAATAGAACAAATAAAATTGCAAAAAGTATACAGTTAAGTGATTAAAATTAAAGAATATCGAGTATATTCTTAAGCACGTGTGTACCCACGTGTGAAACTGATTATTTTCTATTGTTCAACGTGATCAAAGAACGAACTCTCAACCTGTAAAATAGGCTTCCGGCCGACCTGTCTATTGACGAAGATTTCTTTCATGATGTCACTAAATAATTGTTAATAACGAAAGTTACTTTTAAATTATAAATAATTTCAATATTCGATTAAACAAACTTACGTGTTTTTCTTTCATTTTCTCACGAGAAGTTTTACTCCTTTTTCGCTCAGGTGAGATATCCGCCATTTTAGAACTATTCGTAAAGTGTTGCCAATTCGACGGACGTAAACGTCTGTAAAATTAAAACAATTTTTATTTTATTAANAGCACGGAAGAAATGTCTCTTCTCGTTCGATGACTTATATCCTGCCTTGCATCCTGGCACAAAGCACGTTGGCATTTTTATGTAGCTAAAAAAAACAATTATTATAGGTCAAAATCACTGACTTCAGTATATACCTAGCAAGAACAACGATCTCCTGCTAACAGTGGCGCCGACTAGCGGCAAATATTGTCTCTAGCTAAGTTTGAACTATTAGTCGAAAGACCAGTTAATCTACCGACTCTGGCCATGGCCGATGAAATGGCTGATTACGGGTGGGAAAAACCCCAGGAATTTTTCGGAGTGGTCCATTCGGATGTTAGGACCGGTCCCTCACCACATTGTAGCCGAATCATTAATGGGTTTGCTAAAATATGTTTTTATGTGTCCACTGGACGAAAAGAATTTCAAAAACTAACAATTCACAGGACGAAAATTTTTGTTGAAAATTTTTTATCGAACGACTATGTTAATAAGATTTGCCTGATTAAATTAGTTAGTAGTATTTTAATGAATGTAATTCAATCTGAAAATGCTCAATATTTTAAATAATTTTTCTCTAAATAAAGTTATTTTGTTAATTGGGATACTCAGGAATCTCACAGTTTTCATGGGCGGCCTATACCGAATACTTCAGTCTCCGTCCTTTGCCATCCAGACACTCCAATTTTTGATGGATACGATTGAAAAGGTCATTTTAATCCCTTTAGAGTGTAAACATTAAAAAATAAAAAATAAAACTATGCGCTCAAATCCGAGCATTCCAGACAAACTGGCCCACCAATGTCTGATTGAATGAAACCACGAAACACTGGTAATTGGGCAAGGATTCACGCTTGACCAACAGATGGATAGGGCCAGTTTCTTAATGCTGTTTTGATGTTCCTGATTCTAGTGTTCAGAGATCCACGAGATAGTGAAACAAGTTGTTTCAATGTATTCGTAGCTACTAGCGTCTGTTATCTTGGAAAAAATTGAGTGTACCCCAAGTAGAGCAGGTCCTCTCATTAGCATGATCCATTAGGAAGCGCCTATGTACAACCGCTTTGGCGGCCTTTGCTTGTGACGGTGACATGCATAATTCTTTCGATACAGCACGTTTCGGCTAAATATTTGAAAACTTTCATAATTTATAAGGCCAATAAAAAGAGACCACAGTTAAGTTAACTTTAAAAATTATGCAGTCGTATCACATGCACGGAGAACATTATTCGAAGTTTTGTAGTTTTGTTTATTGCCATTTTGTTATATTTATTTAATTATTTTATATTTAATACTTTTCTTTTTAATTATTTATTCCTATTATCTAGGTTATATTTAATATATTTATGTTCCTGTATTTGTGATTCACCACGTAAATTTGTAATTGCCGAATGTTTTTAATTTGAATTGTGCATTATGTTCTATTTATTAATTCTATTTTAGAACCCGAAGATGGCCATTTTATATGGTCCGAAACGTTCTATTTTTACTGAATTTCAGGTTTATTTGGTGTTAATTTCCGAATAACTATTCAGACAAATTTTGATAATTAACGAATTACACGAAGATTTACGAAAGTTACGATGAATTTTCTGAATATTATTACGCTTATTTTATTATTTCATTTAGCATTTTTAAGTGTAGAAGAAGACAAAACACTCAAAAAGCATCCGTTAATTACAAATAAGAAAACAACATACGAAGACACCCGTCGAGTCAATACAAGTTTGAATGGAAGTTATAATTTATATGGTAGGAATGTTTGGAAATGGCTACCGCTAACGGATCAAGAAAAGAAAACCGAAAAGAACTTTAGAAAAGATGGCAGGAGAAAATTATATTTACTTATTCTTAAGATAAATAAACAAATTTTCAATTTTGAAGCAAAATTAATGCCAAGGAGAATCTCTAGAAGCATTTCCAAGAACAAAATGCTTTGGTTAAAACGCGCAAAACATCGGGATGACTTTAGTGATACCAAGAGGAAATATACTTCAGAAGAATATATTAAAAATTTATCAGCAATTTTAGGGAAAAAAGAGAATAATGTCGATACATGGTTGAACGAAAACATGGGTAATGATAAATATATTAATGGAGATGATATAATAAACAAATTGAAGAATGGATACGCTGGGAATAAGAAGAATATGATCTCGTTTAATCTGAAAGAATCAGCTCCAAATGATAAACGTTTTGAAAAATATCTGTGGAAAGAAAGAAAAAAGAAAGGAAATGGAGCATACAGGATGTACGTAAAAAATTCTTTCCACACCAATAAGTTCCCGCATTATAAGCACCCATTTATGAAAAAAAACTTACGAACTAAAAAAAATAACGATTCGAAAAGTATCTACGACATTATTTCTTTTTACGCTATTTCGGCAATAATTGTATTTTTTATAATACAGTTTGTGCTTTTAATTTTAACTATTATTGTATACTTTTGTACGGAGTATCAAAGAAAGCCACGCAAACTGAAACCCACGGCAAAATTCTATGATGCACAAACAGTTCAAAGTATATTTCCAATGGAAGATACGTTGTTTTATCGACACCGACAACCAACTGCACCCGAACGTGACTACTCCAGAAGTTCTAGTCTTCTTCCTTGTTATTCTTTCAAAGACGACGAAGAAATTTATGATACAATCGAAACCTTCCACCCCACAGAAATTCGCGTAAGATTTCAAACACAGAGAAGTATTGAGAGTCCTAAAGCTTTTGATAGCAAAGAAGTTCAAACTTCTGGAATTAGCAGTCCCGAAGCTGTCGAAACTTCAGAAACGTCCAATGAAACTGAAGTTCTTATTTCACCCGACATTCCTAAATCGCCCGGAATCGCTGTAGAGACCCAGACTTCTCCTTTTGCCGGAGTTTCCAAAGAGACTCAAGTTAGTGCCGAGTCCTCCAGTACATCTCAGTCTGCTTCTAGAAAATCGAAACACGAAACACCAACAAAAGTTGAAGAACCAAACGAAGTAGTTCCGGCAGTCAATGTTAATATTGAAGTAGACGAGAATTCGATGATGGAGGATGACAATAACTTCATTCGAGAATTTTTAAAATCAGAAGGTCGTTCCAATGCCGCAGACGAAGATGTAAGTTCTCGCTTTACTGCAAAACCAATGAAAGTAGCACCTAAAGGCAATTATAAATATTCAAAAACCGAACGATTAGATATAATTTATCCTATTTATGAAACTGGACAACCTTCTCTTTATGGAGATATTCGCGATACTTCAAAGAATACTCTTCAATTCAAACAAGGAAAAATGAATTTAATGGAAATGATCAAGACCAAATCTTCACTTTCCAATAATAAATTAAAAGGTTCTGGTGATATGCCACCATTAAATTATTTTAATACTATTCCAATTGAAGAAACACGAAATGAGATGAGTTTACAACAAAGGAGAAAAAATATTTCACATAGAACAGAAATATGCAAAAGTTTTGAGAATGTCAAAAAGAATTTGGTTACAGAAGAGAGCAGATTCTATGAAGATACAAGCAATAGCTGCTCTTCACAAAATATTTGTTACTTTAGGAATAATAATGCAAATCTATGGAAAAAGGGAAAAAAGACAGTTCGAAAGATTTTTAGAAAAAGAAATGTAACGAATAAATCGTCATCAGAAAGTTCCAGTTTATTGAAATCGTACACGGAAGATTCCTCTTCAGAGAGACAAAGCAGTGAAGAATCGTAGCCAAAATTGAAAAGTAATAGGAAATCGATTCTTACTCTTCTCTTCATTGCATTTGCATCGAATTTAATGATTAGAATTATTTAGTTTGTAAATTACGATCACTTAGTTATAGAATAAACTTTTAATAGAAATGCTTATATTTTTATATCTTCATCGAACCTAGTCATATGCCGCCAGGCCATGGCCAGAGCAGATAGCATCAGGGGGCAAACTTAAATGTGGATCGTAGGTTATCGCTGTGCCAACGGACCAGCGCGAACCCACGACCAGTGTTTAGTGGTTTTATCCACTCGGCCACTTTTGGGCCCTTAAGCTTAGTAATAAGTATAGAAATTCTAACATTTTACACCACTCAAAATTACGGCTTAATTTAAAATCGAAAAAAACGAATTCAAGTAAATTTTTTTATTGAAAAATATGTATTTATAAATATTAAATACGGATAGTTGAGCGGATGTGTAAGCCTACCGATCTGAATGACCCGGAATAGATCCGGACGGGTCGAAAAAACCAGATTTTCGGGTGAGGTCCTTCTGGTTATGTTGACTCTCGTCTCTCATCACTCGGCCGCCGCCTACCACTGGCCGTGTGGATAAAACTGTGAACACTGGTAGTTGGTTGTGGGTTTGTGCCTGGCCAACGGGTTGTAGTTTATCGGGTTTTTTTCACCTTAGTAACGCCTAAATAATTTATTTAAGCCCATAACCCGAGATATCTCGGGCAAGTTACATAGCGTTACGAAAAACGCGGGCGTTTGGGCCTCCAATTTTTTTTTGTTGTTAGGTCCCCAAATTTTTTGCCCGCGCGAAAAAATTTTATCGCGATTTTAATGAGCCTTTGATAAGGCTCGATTAAGGCTTAATTGCTTTTTAATGTTTTTTTTAATGGGAGTTTTTTATCAAAATTAATTAATCGTTCTAAAGTTGTAGTGCACCGATTTTCCTTCGGTAAAGTTATTTAAAGTTGCTTTCTGATGTAAAAAACGACCTCCAATAGTTTTTTAATCTTTTTAATTAATAGATTTTATTATATATAAGTTTAATTAAGCCTGGGGTCGGAAATCGCAATTAAAATCTTAATTTTTTTAAAATATTTAAAAATATACGTGTCAGACATATTCACCCTACTTTAAACCCTTGTCCTCCCGAGACGTATATGAGAATGTCCCGGGAAATCCGACTCCAGCTGTGTTCAAGGTCATCCAGCTGTGTAAACAATGACTCATCGGTGTTATATTTCACAGAAAGATGAGACAAAGGAAAATAAAATTAGAAGCTTTTTCTTCAAAATAAACGCATTTCTTTCGTTTTTTTCAGTTTTAAGTATTTTTTACGTTTAATTAGATTAATGATTATAAAATATCAAAAATCTCAATGTTTTTAAGGGGATAAGGGCCAATTTCCCATAAAAGACCTTCCGGGAGACATTTCCCTCGGCAGATTTCCCGTGTGTTGCAATGCCTTAAATGTAAATGCAATTCGCAAGCAGAGAAAATAATACATTTTAAAGCTGTTAGTTATGGTAATTTACATTGATATACTTGGGACACATGTCACTTTTTTGTCCAAGTTGCTCTTTTCCTAATCCCCAAATGGCGACTTGTACCCTATTCTGCAAAAAGAAAAGAAAGTAATAAACGGTATTTGTCTACAACTATTTTCATGTAGTAATTTGTCTTGTTTTGATCGACCCTATATTCATTGTTCGTAAGGTCGAGTTAGACCCGAGTGAAATTGGTCCCATCTAGTGAGAGCGCTGATCCGACATTGAATCATAGTTTAAAACTAGTATTATGTACGATGTCCTTTTTATATCTTCTGCCTCTCCCACTTTTTATAATCTGCGGCCGCAGCTGATAATGGTATTGTCGATGATATTTCTGTTCCTATTATGACGATTATTTGTTTGATCTCGTTACTTTAAGTATGTGTTTTCATTAAGTTGTTTAGTATATTGCTTGATTGTTAGGAAATTATCATGTTTTGAAGTATGATAAGTTTGAAGTTTCTAAGAGCCTTTAGAAGCAAAATTTCCACTTTACCAACATTTATTGATTTCTATTAGAAGCAAAAGCATGCTAATTCATCCCTCAGGTGCTTTAATATTTGCAACCTACATGGACATAAACACCGTGTTCATGTATATTATTCAACCTTTCGAAAATCGCATACTTTTAACACGTTGAATAATTGAACATCAATCTAGACTAAGATATTTACAGTTACATTTGTTTTACATGCCAATGAATGTACTGTATATACTTTCGGATGCATTTCTTTCAATGTGAAGACCATAATACTTAGTGGCCAATTTAACTTATATTTATGTGGTATTCGTTTGTATGCAATAGCTTGTTTAACTTGTGTAATTATGTGAATTCAGCAATATATATATATAATTTAGATTATAGTAATTAGATAAGAAACTATTCTTTTAATACTTTAAATATGCTACTGATTCAAAATTCATCTCTTCAGATATTACACTAACAGCAGAAAATATTTTGAAGAATTCGTGCACTAAGACAGAACTTTATAAAAACAAATCAAGAAATTTATTTAAAAATAATTCAACAAAACATCGTTTTATTGAAACAACCAATGCTTAAAGTAAAACATTACAACAAGGAATATTTTAAGTTAATAAAAAATAAATTCTGAAAATGTCCTTCAATTTTCATTAAAACTGAAATTTTAGGTTCGAGTATTTTCGAAGACCCTTCAACAGTTAAAAGTACAATAATCGACATACAGTTTAAGTTACTTATTATTATGACATGCAGAAATATGACAGATTAAATTACATTTAACAGAAAATTTTCGTAAGCAATGATTACAGGAGTATGGCTTCTCTCCAGTGTGAGTACGAAAATGCGTTATCAGAGCTTCTTTTTGTGTAAAACTTCGTTTGCAATGGTCACAAGTGAAAGGCTTCTCCCCCGTGTGAGTTCGCAAATGTGTTATCAGAGTTCCTTTATGTGTAAAACTTCGTTTGCAATGGTCACAAGTGAAAGGCTTCTCCCCCGTGTGAGTTCGCAAATGTTTTATCAGAGCTCCTTTTTGTGTAAAACTTCGTTTGCAATGGTCACAAGTGAAAGGCTTCTCCCCCGTGTGAGTTCGCAAATGTTTTATCAGAGCTCCTTTTTGTGTAAAACTTCGTTTGCAATGGTCACAGGTAAAGAATTTCTCTCCGGCGTGAGTCTTGAGATGATTATGCAGACTGCTGGAATGGTTGAACTGACGATTACAGAATTGACAATTCAAGAGCCCTTCTCCAGTGTGAATCTTCTGATGACATTTAAGATTATATTTCGAACTGAATTCTTTCTTGCACCTTTCACATTGATATTTCTTATTCGTCGTTTTACGTTGAGAGAAACCTGCAAATAATGATAAATAAAAATATCAGAACTTAAACTCTGAACATAAAAATCATATCAATTAATCAAAAATATAAAAATATTTTATATTGTTATTCTTAATGCTTAAGAAGTAATTTGTTTTCCTTTCGATATACTACAATATTTAACTGTTCAAACGGTATCAGCTCGTGAATAGTAACAATATATTTCTTATAAGTAAAGGGCTATTCTCTTCGCGAGAATTACAGTTTTGTATAAATACATTGGGCAATCGTAAAAACCTTCCTTAGGTTACCACAAGGAGGAATAATCCCAAAGCAGACATCGAAACACACTTTATAATCACTATTGAGCCAGTTAATACAGTGCGATCGTAAAGTCTCTCCGCGGCGGATTACGTCAGTGTTGCGACGTCGTAGCCCACAACTCAAAGATCCTCCCTTTTACCATCCACTGCGGAGGAATTTTATGATCGCGCCATATTTGTTACTAGATTTAATTATTTTTAACAATTCACTATCGTGCATGAAAACCGGCAATTCTTTTGGCTAATGTACACAAATAAACCATAGATTTTCATAAACAGTAAACACACGACGAATGATAACCAATGGAGAAAAATCTTTCATTTTTATGTCGGAAACACCGGAGAAAAGAATGTCCATTCAGTTTCTTGGGCATTTCTTGCACCAATCTACGAAACAGGTTTCATTTTTTAGCATATGTAACAGCAAAAACGTTAAATATCTCCTTTAATTCTTTCCAGTTCGACCGGTCAACTCCTGTTATTACACAGAAATTCTTCATTTCTTCAGCACGACCTGCAAATTAAAAAGTAAGTTGTACACAAACTGCAATGTGAAAATATGAAATATAATTTAGAATTAAAATGAATAATCCTGGAAATTTTTTACCACTTAAGAACTTCAGCTTAGAACCTGAAAGAGAAAGTATTTTGAAGTTATTTGTGTTATTCCAGAATACATATAAAAAATGATAAAGCAATATGAGAGATAACCAATTTTCTGATTTGCCAGTTCTTCAAATATATCTTCTGTTCTTTCAAGGTATTTCTTCGTTGCATTTTCTATCTTTCATACAGAATTACAATTACACAAATTGGGAATTTTAAATGTTACCCTAAAATAAGTATCTGAATCTCCAAAGTAGAAATGCATTTACATCAATCAATACATTCAAAAACTTTAGTACTTTAAGGAGACATCTTTCCTCAGTTTGGCATTCACGGTAATTACCGTGCTTCCCCGAAAATAAGACTTCCCCCTGAAAGTAAGAACTAGCGAAGTTTTTTTTAGTTGTAACGGTCATCGGCAGATGGTTGAAAGTGGCCATTGGCTTTTTGAAAGTACAGCCACTGATTGGTCAGCAGACAATTACGCCACACGGCATGATTTGCATAAGACTATGGCTTGTGAATCACAGATTTGCATAACGTTACGGCTGGTGATGGCTAATTGGTCGGCCGGGAATCACGCCACATGACATTTGCATAGTGCTACGGTTTGGTAAGCACTAATTGGTCATCGAGTCCGATGTTGACGCTATAAAAAGGCGACAGTTCGACACACCGGATATACGTCACTCTCGTCTAAGTTCGACTT